ACTATTTTTGCTTTATTTAATCTAAATAACAGAAAGTAAAAAAGAGGGTACAGAAGGTTGTGCCTTCTAGTTTCATCCATCTCGTGATCATCAAAATGAATCCACTAACAAGGTTGATCAAGTCTTGTTAACAAACTCATTCCGAATAACACGGAACCGGAGAAATTTCGAATAACACTAAGTTACCTCAACGGGGATATGAAAATCCCCAACAATAAGAATATCATACTTTTTCTTGACAGTAGGAAGAGAAAATCAAAACCTCCAAAAATGATAGTTGGAACTTTTTCAATAGAATTGATGCTATGAACTTGAGATTGTTTCCTCGGAAAGTGTACCGTATGCTCATTACCATTAACATGAAAAGTGACATTGCCTTTGTTGCAATCAATAACATCCCCTGCAGTATTAAGAAAAGGCCTACCAAGGATAATAGACATACTATCGTCCTCGGGAATATCAAGAATAACAAAGTCCGTTAAGATAGTGACATTTGCAACCACAACAGGCACATCCTCACAAATACCGACAGGTATGGCAGTTGATTTATCAGCCATTTGCAAAGATATTTCAGTAGGTGTCAACTTATTCAATTCAAGTCTACGATATAAAGAGAGAGGCATAACACTAACACCGGCTCCAAGATCACATAAAGCAGTTCTAACATAATTTCTTTTAATGGAGCATGGTATAGTTGGTATACCCGGATCTCCAAGTTTCTTTGGTATTCCACCCTTAAAAATGTAATTAGCAAGCATGGTGAAAATTTCAGTTTCCAGTATCTTTCTTTTATTTGTAATGATATCCTTCATATATTTAGCATAAGGATTTACTTTCAGCATATCAGTTAAGTGCATATGTAAGAAAATAGGTCTAATCATTTCAGCAAAGCGCTCAAAATTCTCATCATCCTTTGACTTGGATGGTTTAGGAGGAAAGGGCATGGGTTTCTGAACCCATGGTTCTCTTTCTCTACCGTGCTTCCTAGCAACAAAATCTCTCTTATCATAATGTTGATTCTTTGATTGTGGGTTATCAAGATCAACAGCAGGTTCAATCTCTACATCATTGTTTTTGCTAGGTTGAGCATCAACATGAACATTATCATTAACATTATCACTAGGTTCATGTTCATCACCTGATTGAGTTTCAGCATCAAAAATAGAAATATCATTAGGATTCTCAGGTGTGTCTACAGTAGGTTCACTAGAAGCATGCAAAGTTCTATCGTCTTTATTTTTCTTATTTTTAGAAGAACTAGGTGCCTCTAAATTATTTCTCTGAGAATCTTGCTTGATTCTCTTAGGGTGGCCTTCAGGATACAAAGGTTCCTGAGTCATTCTACCAGTTCTAGTAGCCACTCTAACAGCAAAGTCATTTTTATTATTTAATTCATCAAGCAAATCATTTTGAGCTTTAAGTATTTGCTCAGCTTGAGTAGCAACCTTAGAAGCATATTTGCTAACAAGTTTGAGTTCATCTTTAACTCTAGCCAGATTATCGCTTACACGTATTATCTCAAAAGCATTATTCTTTAACTCTCTACCAACATAAGCATTAAAACTTTCTTGTCTAGCCATATATTCATAAAATTCATCCAAGCATGGGCTATGAAATTTAGTAGAGGGAATTTCAACTTTATCATATCTATAGAGAGAATTTACCTTTACTACCTGTGTCTTGTTATCAAGACAATGTGGTTCTTCAACAGGCGGTATATTAAGACCATGTATTTCTTCAATAGGAGGTAAATTCTTAACATCTTCAGCTTTAATACCTTTTTCTTTCATTGATTTCTTTGCCTCTTGCATATCTTCAGGACTGATAAATAAAACACCTCTCTTCTTCGGAGTGGGTTTAGGAATAGGCTCAGGAGTTGGCTCAATTGGTTCAGGAATTACTTCAGGAATTGGCTCAGGAAGAGTCCAATTATTTTCATTAGTCAACATATTATTCAATAATATTTCAGCTTCGTCGACGGTTCTTTCCCTGAAAACACAACCAGCACAACCCAAGTAGTCCTTGGAAGCATCGGTTAGTCCATTATAAAAGATATCAAGTATTTCATTTTTCTTGACAGGATGATCAGGCAAAGCATTAAGTAACCGGAGAAGCCTCACCCAAGCTTGTGGGAGACTCTTTTCTTTGTTTTGCACAAAATTATATATTTCCCGCAAGGCAGCTTGTTTCTTATGAGCAGGGAAATATTTAGCAGAGAAGTAATAAATCATATCCTGGGGACTACGCACACAACCAGGAGCAAGGGAATTATACCAAGTCTTAGCATCACCCTTTAATGAGAATGGAAATATTTTAAGTATATAAAAATAGCGAGACTTCTCATCATTAGTAAATAGGGTAGCTATATCATTTAACTTGGTAAGATGTGCCACAACAATTTCAGATTCAAGGCCATAAAAAGGATCAGATTCAACTAAAGTAATAATTTCAGGATCAACAGAGAATTCATAATCCTTATCAGTAACACAGATAGGTGAAGTAGCAAAAGCAGGATCGGGTTTCATTCTAGCATTAAGAGACTGCTGCTTCCATTTAGCTAATAATTTCTTAAGATCATATCTATCATTGCAAGCAAAGATTTCCCTAGCAGCTTCTTCATTCATAACATAACCCTTAGGAACAACAAGTAATACATAATCATTGGGAGAACCTTCATCATCACTATCATCAGTAACAGGATCTTCAGTAATTTCATTCCCCCTAACTCTAGCAAGTTGTCATCAAGAAATTCACCTAATGGCAAAGTAGTATCACGCACAGAAGTAGCTTCATCATGCATAGCAGAAGTGGCATCATCAGTAACATGCGACATATCAGAATTCATAGCAGTAGCATGTTTAGGTGTTGCAAGCCTACTAATAACGGAAGGAGAATCTAGTGCAGAGCTAGATGGCAGTTCCTTACCTCCCCTCGTAGTTGAGGGCAAAATCTTGGTTTTAGCGTCTTTCAAGTTCTTCGTAGTGATCAACAGATAAAAATCCCAAGTGACTCAGAGAATAGAGCTATGCTCCCCGGCAACGGCGCCAGAAATTAGTCTTGATAACCCACAAGTGTAGGGGATCGCAACAGCTTTCGAGGGTAACGTATTCAACCCAAATTTATTGATTCGACACAAGGGGAGCCAAAGAATATTCTTGAGTATTAGCAGTTGAGTTGTCAATTCAACCACACCTGGATAACTTAGTATCTGCAGCAAAGTATTTAGTAGCAAAAGTGGTATGATAATAAAGGTAACGGTAGCAAAAGTAAAGATAAATATTTTTGGGTTTTTGTAGTAGTTGTAACAGTAGCAACGGAAAAGTAAATAAGCGAAGAACAATATATGAAAAGCTCGTAGGCAATGGATCAGTGATGGATAATTATGCCGGATGCGATTCCTCATGTAATAGTTATAACATAGGGTGATATAGAACTATCTCCATCATCAATGTAATGTAGGCATGTATTCCGTAAATAGTCATATGTGCTTATGGAAAAGAACTTGCATGACATCTTTTGTCCTACTCTCCCATGGCAGCGGGGTCCTAGCGGAAACTAAGGGAAATTAAGGCCTCCTTTTAATAGAGGACCAGAACAAAGCATTAGCACATAGTGAATACATGAACTCCTCAAACTACGGTCATCATAGTATCCCGATTATTGTCACTTCGGGGTTGTCGGATCATAACACATAATAGGTGAATATAGACTTGCAAGATAGGATCAAGAACACACATATATTCATGAAAACATAATAGGTTCAGATCTGAAATCATGGCACTCGGGCCCTAGTGACAAGCATTAAGCATAGCAAAGTCATAGCAACATCAATCTCAGAACATAGCGGATACTAGGGATCAAACCCTAACAAAACTAACTTGATTACATGGTAAATCTCATCCAACCCATCACCGTCCAGCAAGCCTACGATGGAATTACTCACGCACGGCGGTGAGCATCATGAAATTGGTGATGGAGGATGGTTGATGATGACGATGATGACGAAACCCCCTCTCCGGAGCCCCGAACGGACTCCAGATCAGCCCTCCCGAGAGAGATTAGGGCTTGGCGGTGGCTCCGTGTCGTAAAACGCGATGAAACTTTCTCTCTGATTTTTTTCTCCCTGAACGTGAATATATGGAGTTGGAGTTGAGGTCGCTGGAGGTCCAGGGGGCACACGAGATAGGGGGGCGCGCCCTATAGGGCGGGCACCCCCCTGTCTCGTGGACAGGCCCTGGGCCCCCTGGTATATTTCTTTCGCCCAGAAATTCTTATTGATTCCAAAAAGTGCCTCCGTGGATTTTCAGGACATTCCGAGAACTTTTCTTTTCTACACATAAAACAACATCATGGCAGTTCTGCTGAAAACAGCGTCAGTCCGTGTTAGTTTCATTCAAATCATGCAAGTTAGAGTCCAAAACAAGGGCAAAAGTGTTTGGAAAAGTAGATACGTTGGAGACGTATCAGGCTGCATGCATCGTCCAGATGCAAAGGCTGGAGGTCCTCCTCCTTTTCTAAGAAATGACTGTACTAAGGTCACAAGAAAGCATTTGCATTCTTTTCAGAGTCTCCAAAGGTTCTCTTGGTTTAGATGGCACCCCACAATGGGCAAGCGCAACACTGAAATCGAGATGCCATCATTGGCTTAGCTAGGATCTGACATCTTCCTATTTGTAGAAGTGTAGAAACTGCCCCCGTTTGATTAGGCACAGTTTGAAAACAATTATTTAAACCATTGCTCGTATCTTGCCTAGGCATGCTAATAGTAACATATTCCTGCACTGCAAAGTTCCCAGCCTAGCTCTGAACAAACCATACACATATTTCTATCTCTTGCTGCAATGATTGCTTACCATACATAATTGACATTAAAGCAACTAAATAATAAGAGACAGCTAGCTGCCACAAGCTTGCCATCCTTTTATTCTTTCCTGTCCACATTACAACTTTTAAGAAAATTGCTGAAATTAACAAATATTACATTGGGCTGGAGATTATTATTACATTGAAGTTGCGACACCAGATTGTTCTGTTATAGCTGCAAGCAATCTTGGCATTGGAGGAACATCAATGTCCTGTTGACCCTCAAGAACCCGGACAACTTCACCCATTATTGGCCGATCGAATTCATTATCTTGGATGCACCAACATGCAACTTTGCAAACCCTTTCAGCCTCTTCCAAATTGAAAACACCATGTAACTGCGGATCTACCAAACTCTTCAAATCTCCACCGTGAAGCTTGCTGATGGCTTGCACAGGGAAGTATTCAATATTCTGGTCACTGTAGTTGCTGCTAGTGTTGTATGATGTTTCAGGTGAAGAATTCCTCCTTCCTGATATGATTTCAAATAGCACCATGCCGAAGCCGTAAACGTCGACTTTCGGTGTGATCGCCACTCCAGTAAGCCACTCTGGGGCAAGATAACCCACAGTTCCTCTGAATGAAGTAAGAATTCGGCTGAAATCCCTTCCCACAAATGTTGCCAACCCAAAGTCTGCAACTTTAGGAACAAATGATGCATCCAAAAGTATGTTCTCTGGCTTAATATCGCAGTGTATGATGCACTTGCGACAACCCTGATGCAAGTAGGACAATCCTCTAGCAACTCCTAGGGCTATCTGATATCTGATGTTCCAATTTAGGACGACAACATTTGCATTGCTCGTCTTAAATAGATGACCATCAAGAGAACCATTTAACATGTGTTCGTACACAAGTAATCTGTGATCACCTTCACAGCAGAAACCAATCAATTTGACTAGGTTTATGTGTTGGATCAGTCCAATTGAGCTCACCTCGGCCCTGAATTGCTTCTCTCCTTGACAGGCACCATCAAGCCTTTTCACTGCTATACTAGTCGAGTCATTTAAGACTCCTTTGTATACAGAACCAAAACCACCTCCTCCAAGCTTTTTTGAGAAGCTTTTAGTAGCACGAACCAAGTCGGTGTATTTGAAGGCTACAATTCCACCAGCACTACCTAGATTGTCATACATAGGCAAACCACAACACTTGAATTTGTTCCTCCAAATCAGTAACAACAACATGACCATTATTAACCCAAAACCAATAATACTTACAATAGTAACAACTCCGACCTTTGGTTTTCTTTTCTTTTTTCTGGAACCGGGTAGCGAATCTTTGGCAGCAAGGCGAAGGTAAAGAACATCTTCAGAATTATTTTCAATGCCATCATTCAGATTTACACTAAGCAGTTCCCCATGCCAGACAGAGCATTTGTTGTTGTTATAGGAATAAGCAGTGCAGGAGCAAGAACCGAGACATGCTTCTTCACATTTGCTCTGAGTGGTAGCAACTTCTATAATTTGTGGGTTGTAGGGCAATGCAACATGAGCAATGGGGTGGAACATGTCTGTTGAACTTGTCATGTTTTTCTTGTTACCACTAGTGCTGCAATGTAAAGGTGTGTTTCTAATGCACCCTCCTGTTCGATCCTCAAACTCCCAATCATGTCGTGACTTATGGGAGAAGCTCTCCATACAGATACATGATGGATGCGCAATGCCGTTGCAAACTGTGAAAGGCCCGCACGTAGCAGGCGGGCTGCAGGGATCAGCAGGCTCGGAATATATGATTTGCCAAGACTGGTTGGCTTGTGACCAAATATTCAGCTTAACCTGACCAGAGATGTCTAGTGAGACAAATATGGAAGACGATGATTCATCCAGTAAAGTGTACGTGTAGTACTCCTCCTGGTTGTTATTGACATATGTTAGGTTAATCAAACCTTTGGTCCGAGGATCTAAATCTAGAAGTGTCTTGAGCATTGGTATCAAAGATGATGATCCCGAGGTTGCATAAACCAGATACTTTACCAAGGGGTTGTTGCGGCGCTTGAGGACGATCCCGCTGGTGTCTTCTAGTTCCATGCTGTATGAGCCAAGACCCAGATCAATGCGGCTCTTTTTTGATATGAACTGGCGACTGAAACCAGTGACCTTGTTCCGGCCCAACTTGGCGCCAGGAAGCCCGACATCTAATGGATAGTCGAAGCTCTGCCATAACGGTAGGTCAGATGATGGGCTATCTGTGACTTTGACAGCAAGATTTCCAGTGTTCAAGAGAACAGCAACACTAGTGGTGGTGGTGTTTATGCTGCTACTTTGTGTCCAATTGACCATGTGAGTGGACCAAACAAGGGATTCAGTGCCGGCAATAGCATGTTTTACGACAATGACAAGATTGTCGTTTCTTGAGATCTTGAGCTGTGTTGAGTTAATGTTGGCGTGGGCAATGGGCTTCTCCCTATTAGCAACCCACACAGTAGTGAAAACTGGAATTTTATTGAACCATATGCCAAGGTACCAGTTGTTGTGGGACGACTTACTAATAGTGCTTGCCGCTGGCTGGAAGAATCCGAGCGCGAACTTGCCGTTTCTTGAGACGAGCTTATCACCGACGGTGAGCACTCGGCCCGCCACGAGAGTATCACCTACGGATGCAGATGTGGAGCAGCAAGATGTGGTCAAGAAGAGAAGCCCAAGTAACAATATGTAGAGCGGATGCATGGAGAAGAGTGTGGACGTGCTCTGCTCTGCTATTCGAAATAGGAAGAAGAGGATGTATATATAGGCTGGAACATGTTGTTGAGCTGAACTTTCACTACGATCCATTTGGGACCAATCAAATTCAGATTAGGACAGTAGTGGCCCAATTTAGATTGGGGCCACTATCTCTCTGTATAATACAAGGCTGGTACTATTTTCATGAAAACTACTGTATGTGCTAGTCGGCAGGGATTACAAGCTCTCCAGCACACCAAGGAGGACTTTCAATGATGCTTTCCGCCAAGTGTCCAAGTCAGTCATGAGGCTTCCACTAAGTGGCCAAGGACTTTGGTCAAGTCAACCATGAGCATTCCACAAAAGCTGCCGTGGGCCATGCTCAAGTCAATCATGGGGCTTCCACTAAACTTACCATGAAAGCTGTATTTTTGGAGTCTTCCACTATGTTAGTGAGCTCTGGAAAGTGCTAACCATACCCCTCACGGCATGCTAATAGTCAAAAGGTCAGCCAACAAGACAATGGACTGAATGATCATCGTATATTATTGATCTAAACCAAAAGGTACGCCCACATATTCTAGGGTTATCTTCCATATACAATTTAAAATAATCATTTTACTAATCAACCCTGAAATATCTGCTTCGATGGTCGAATACTACAAAAGCAAGAGCAACACCTAAGACCAGCACTGAGAAAGTGCGACCACAAACAGAAATACAATAAATGTCGTAAGCTAATAAAGCTGGCAAACTTAAAACACATAAGAGTGAGCTAGAAAAAAGAGACAAATAACTGCTGAGTATATTGATTATTAGGAAAGACGAAATAGATCACGATTTGTTCTGGCTTGTCTTGTACTCAATGTTGATCATTGTACTTCTATATATATGCCCATGAGGCTCAAGCAATAAAATGAACTATTCCGCAACAATCTCTCTCTCCCTTCTAACATTTCTAACATGGTATCAGCCTAACCGATCCAAACCCTAGCCGCCACCACTTCCGCACCCGCGTGCCGCCCCCGGGGCGGTCGGCCTCCATGACCGCCACCAGGGGCCGCGCCGCCGGTACGTAGGGTTCGTCCGCCTCTCGTGTTGATCGGCTGCTTTAGTTGCTTCAGGTTTTCTCTCTCTCTCGCCGGTCGTTTTGATCAGCATTTTCTTTTTGGTTTTTCGATCTATGCTTGATCGGTTTGCGTCACCCGCCGCTGCCGTCGACACCAACGCGCCTCTACTCCGACCCCAACGTGACCGGCCGGCCTCTCCTCCTATCTGGCAACCACGCGTGTCGAGGCGGCCCGTCAGGGCCAGCGGGCGTCCGCGCGTCGGCCCGTCCGTCGCCCTGCGCCGGCCATCGCCGCCCTACTCCAAGCGGACTCCTGCATCGCCCCTACCCGGCGGCCTCGTGCGATGCGGCGGCCCATCACGACCGCTGTTCGCGCACCGGCCCGCCCGTCGATCCACGCCGTCCATCGCCACCCACCATCGCCGCGTCTACACGGCGACCCTACGGTGTGCCTCACCGGCCACGTCCCCAGCTGCGTCGGGCTGGCTGCGTCAGGCTCGTCGGCTACCTCGAGCTCGGGCGCCGCTGCTTCCTTGGTCGCTCGGGCCTCGCTTCCCGGGCGCTGCTTTGGCAGCCCGGGTGCCGGTGCTACTTTGGCAGCCCGGGTGCCGGTGTTGACGCGCTCTTCCGCACGATGTCCCACGTCGTTCGTCATCGTCGGCCTCATCTTGGACTCCACCGCCATGCCCCGCCTACACCGAGCGGCGTCCCCGACCTCGCGTGCGATCGGCTTGATCACCCGCTCGTCACCGTGATCCGCCCCATCTATGCCATGCGACCGACCTGGGCCGTCGGTTGCGCGCGCCTCCGCAGGTCCCGTGAAGATCGTCCCCGAGTTCAGCGCGCCCCTCCATCGATTGAGCAACGGGCTGTCGTTGCGTCGCCCCATGGTTCTCCTCGCGGCTGCATCGTCTCGCGTGTCGCCACTGCGTCACCCCTTCGGGACGTACTGCTGCGATACGTGGTCCATGCCGCCGCCCCAAGGTCGTCCCCGCGGTTGCACCAACCTGCACTCCGCCGCTGCGTCGCCCCTTCGGGCTGTAGCGCCGCAGCCCGCGGTCCCTACTACCGCCCGAGGTCTTCCCTCCGTCGCCCCGTTCCGCCTGCTGCCGTCGCTGCGTCGCCCCTTCGGGCCATAATGCTGCGGCCCGCAATCCACCGTCGTCCCCGCGCGTCGACCTCTCGTGGTATGCGCCGCACTGGCTCCCTTGGCACGGGAACACCATTGTCCGGGCCAATCTTTGTCACGTTGTCGGGTTCCTTGCCTACTTCGAGAACCGTCGCCGCACTACTAACCTAACCACTGCCTCCGCAGCCGCTCTTCTTCGGCCGCTGCCGCCGCTACCTCTGTAGCCGCCGCCGCCGCTCGTCCACCCCCTTCGTCTTCGTCCAAGCACCAGCCCGTCACCAACGTCGCCATCATCTACCCCGACCAGTTCGTCTGCTCCGACCACCGTTGGTGGCATCACCCCCGCGCCGATGGAATGCCACAATCGTCGTCGAGTTCTTTTATGGTGGCTCCTCTGACTTCTCCGACATGGCGTATAGCTCGTGCAGGTCCCTCGTCTACGCATGCCCTGTGCTTGCAACACCGATGCGTGCCTTTGTCCACGACGTGTCCCCGGGCCTGGGGAGCGGCACTTCGTCCGTCTACGCATGCCCGGTGCTAGCAACATCGACGCGTGCCTTCGGCTACGACGTGTCTCCGGGCTTGGCAAACCTGGCGCGACGTGTCATCAACATCATCTTCTTCTTGGCGCACCACTACTTCGACACCACTGCTCCCATGCTAACTCGGCGCCTCCTTGCGCGCGCGGCTCCACGATGACTTCCTCGACACCGGCTACCCTGACTCGACATCGACCACGACATTCTTCACACGGCTATCTCGACCACGGCTCCACCACCCACGCTCTTGGCTACCTCGACAAACTGTACAAAGGGCTACCACCTTGCTTGAGCAACCTCGTCGGTTTTCACTCCAGCCACGACTTCCGCGATGCATCGACCGTTAGACTGTGGGTGGGTGTCCCTCGGCTTGCCTTTGAAATCTTCTCAAGTCTCACCGTCTGCGTCGTTACCATTGTGACCGTGGAGGGATGTTGAGTATATTGATTATTACGAAAAACGAGATAGACTAGGATTTGTTCTGACTTGTCTTGTACTTCAAGTTTATCATTGTATTCCTATATAAATGTCCACAAGGCTCAAGCAATACAATGAATTATTCCACCAAATTCTAAAGGGATGGTACTAGTGCCCATATTAGACTCACATGTTCAGTACTGTAATTCAACTTAGGCCTGCTATGGGACCATCACAGGTTGGCGGAATTGGATAAATGGCAACACACAGAGCAGCAAAGATGCTGTCCTCAACCCAACGCGGGCTGCGTCGGCTGGAACCTTGGTGCCCCTTCATGAGGGACAAACCAACTTAAATGCAACAGTGGTAGCTCCCATTACTCCAGGGGGTGTTGTCAGTCACTGTCTGCGATAACATTTAGAAGGTTACAGATGCAAATGTATGTCAAGAATCAATTCAAAATAAGAAGCATTGTGCTCTCCTCTGGAAGCAAGTGCCCACATTTCCTCACATATGGTGACCGATCCCTCCCCGGCACATTCCTTTACAGCCACTAGTACAAGTGGGGCGACAGCGTGCAATCCGACACCGGCCATGGCGTGGAAAGACCAAGCCAGGACAGGACTAATGGGTTTACGTCTGATAAAATCCTTGTGGAATGTGTTAGTGGAAAATCGAGCTTTGTTTTGGCAGTAGCGAGGAAATTTTTACTGTCGCCTCCAACAGCACATGTCAACTACAGATACAGAAAGAAATTACATTCTTCAAATTCATCTGGTTGACCAATATTCAGACTTATGCAGTAGCATGACCATATGAATCAGAGTGAAGCAGCAGTAATTCTAGTGGTATTTTAGTTATTCTGATGTGGTTCGACTAATCGCAGGAAGAAATGCAAGTATATATAGGTGGAGGAGCTAGAGGTGGAAGAGGTTCACTGTCTCCAGCGACTGCGGCGCCATCCACCTGCGCTGCACGCCCGAACTCTGCCACAGGCTAGGAGACGAGATGATGGGGAAACTGAATCTATGGAGGAGAAAGTTCCATCCGGTGCTCAAACTCATCACATCCTTGCCTAAAAAAACTCATTACATACTCCCATCTTTCAAAAAAAAAACAGATTTAAATGATTTTAAAATGTCTTTTTTTAATGTTAGCAAGACAAATGTCTGTAATTTCTAAAAAATTGAATCCAAATTCAAAATGCACACGGAGATATAAAAAAGATAAATCTCCATATGTATTTTGAGTTTGGATTTGAAATTTTTAGGGATTGTAGGCACACGATGTTGTGAACATTAATAGAATAATATTGAAACACATTTTTTAAAATTTTGTGAGCATGGGAGCCTTTAAGTGGTGGGAGCACCCAAATCTGACATCAGCGATCTCTATCCCTGCACCACATTCCTGCCGCATGGCTGACTGTATGTTATGTATATTCATCATGGGAATAAAGCAAGAAACTTCTGCCCGCTACCCCCACCGCTCATGTTGAGGTGATATTTAAAAAAAAAAAAGGCTGGCCAACTCACCTCCAGGAGGCTCCCTCGATTGGGGCTTCATCAGCCGTTCGATCTGCCTTTCTCGCGCGCCCAAGCCGTTGAATCTTCACTTGCGGTTAAATTATTTTCACCCCACGGTTTATTTGTCTGCCCAATAACTGGTAGGCTCGTCTCGTGTCTGTATTGGCTGGGTAAGCGGCGCCCGGACGAGAGAGAATTTGTCCCATCCACGCGCCGCGCCCGCACCCAACACAACCCAATCCCCTCGTCCCGCACGCCGTGCACACTCCGGTCCCCTCATCCCGCATGAACCCTAGGGAGAGAGAGATAGGAAGATGAGAGGGAGA